GCAAAACTAAAAGGCAACCGACAGAATGGGAGAAGTTATTTGCAAATGACATATCAGATAAAGGGTTAGTATCCAAAATCTACAAAGAACTTACCACACTCAACACCCAAAAAACAATCCAGTGAAGAAATGGGCCAAAGACATGAACAGACACTTCTCCAAAGCAGACATCCAGATGGCCAACCGACACATGAAAAAATGCTCAACATTACTCATCATCAGAGAAATACAAATCAGGGGCACCTGGGTGGCTCAGTCGGTTAAGTGTCCAACTTCGGCTTAGGTCATGATCTCAGGGTCTGGGAGTTCAAGCCCCGCGTCAGGCTCTGTGCTGACAGCTCGAAGCCTGAAGCCTGTTTCAGATTCTGTGTCTCCCTCTCTCTCTCTGACCCTTCCCCATTCATGATCTGTCTCTGTCTCAAAAATAAATAAATGTTAAAAAAAAAAAAAAAGAAATACAAATCAAAACCACAATGAGATACCACTTTACACCTGTCAGAATGGCTAACATTAACAACTCAGGCAACAACAGATGTTGGCGAGGATGCAGAGAAAGAGGATCTCTTTTGCACTGCTGGCGGGAATGCAGCCACTCTGGAAAACAGTATGGAGGTTCCTCACAAAACTAAAAAATAGAACTACCCTACAAGCTAGCAACTGCACTAGTAGGTATCCAAGGGATACAGGTATGCTGTTTCAAAGGGGCACATGCACCCCAATGTTTATAGCAGCACTATCAACAATAGCTGAAGTATGGAAAGAACCCAAATGTCCATCGATGGATGAATGGATAAAAAAGATGCGGTATATATATATATATACAATGGACTACTACTCGGCAATCAAAAAGAATAAAATCTTGCCGTTTGCAACTACATGGATGGAACTGGAGGGTATTATGCTAAGTGAAATTAGTCAGCGAAAGACAAATATCATATGACTTCGCTTATATCAGAACTTTAAGATACAAAACATGAACAGAAGGGAAGGGATGCAAAAATAATATAAAAACAGGGAGGGAGACAAAACAGAAGAGACTCTTAAATATGGAGAACAAAGAGAGGGTTACTGTGGGGGGGGGTGGGCTAAATGGGTAAGGGGCATTAAGGAATCTACTCTTGAAATCACTGTTGCACCTATACGCTAACTAACTTGGATGTAAATTTAAAAACAAATAAATAAATGAAATTGAAAAAACAAAAAGAAAAGAAGAGGAAATGAAACCAAACAGATTAGAAATAGAAGTAGGGGCACCTGGGTGGCTCAGATGGTTAAGCATCCGACTTCAACTCAGGCCATTATCTCACAGTTCATAAGTTCAAGCCCTGTGTCAAGCTCTGTGCTGACACTTGGAGCCTAGAGCCTGCTTCAAATTCTGTGTCTCCCTCTCTCTCTCTGCCCCTCAACCGTCTGCACTCAGTCTCTCTCTCTCAAAAATTAAAAAAAAAAAAAAAAGTGAATTTACAAATGTAGAGAAGACTATACCTCCATAAGAACAAAGGCAGGGGTTCTCCAAGAAAACCTCTGGGATGGACTAAGTAATAACTAGAAGAAGGAAAAACCTGACATCTCAATTTTGGCTAGCAACACACTATAATAAACTTTTTGGTAGTGATAAGAATGCTTATCTTGGTCTAGCCACCAGAAATGGATGCAGGAAGAGATTTCTTGGGAGAACCTGACACATACCTGCAGGAGTTTAGGACATATGTGAACACAGAAACTGGTCCCAGCCTAGAGAATTCTGAATGCAAGAGGCTAGATGGAACTGTCAAAATTGTAGAGCAAGGAAAAGGAGGACAGTAGTTAGTCAAGCTGTACTTCTACCAGTGGGTTCTTCAATAGGTTCCCCATTAGCCAAACAGATGCTGCAGAAGGGCTAAAGCATCTTAATGGGCCAAAGACACGTGCCTCTGCTACACTGTGCTACACGTGCCTGGTACACTGCAGTACCAGGTCGTAGGGCAGACTACAGGAGGTAAGAGACAGCCAGGAGAAAACTGCCAAAGATAGCCTGAGTGTGTACCACACTCTCAACAAAGAAGTGGGCAATGGGGACATATCCATGGGGATCTTCAAAACTTTCCTAAATGCACAACTGTAAATGTCCACACTTGGACACCTGCTACACTGGCAGCTACATTACAACAGTCCTGGTCACAGAAGTCTTTGTCCTTTCTCTTCTAATCTTCCTTCCAATCAGAAGCCAAAAGCAAAAACGGCGAGGAGGTAGAAAAGTGAAGGAAACAGAGCACACTCCCTTTCTTGACTATATGGTCCCTGAGTCATGATTGGGTCTGAGTTCAGGGGGAGAAGCTTTCAAACTAGATTTAAGTCTTTGACTAGACTTTTCATACTTGTGAATTTAATCACCAAAATAAGGCTTGTTCTTATAGTTAAAAATAACCTCTTGTCAAGATGTAGGGAAGGAAGATCCAAGATGGCATAGCTAAAGTCAAGGATGAGAGAAAAATAAAGCTAGTTCCTATCTGTATGCAAATCAGATATAGCCCATATACCAGACTTACCAGTCCACAGTGCCACCATCTACTCTGTTAATCAAGTCAGGAACCTAGGAGTCATCCTAGATTCTCCCCCTCCCTAAGACCCTGACATCCAATATTATGTCTTAAACCTCTTTTAACACATCTCTTCTTCCCAAGCCCCTTAGCTACTAGTCTAGCTCAAACCTAAAATACTGGAATAATCTAACTTAGTGATTTTCTACCCTGGCCCATACTTATGAATCTTAAAATATTAAAACTAAATTCAAACTAATACCTCGGCTCCATTTATGGGGATCCTCATTTATGGAGTCAGGTAGGACCCAGCCATAAGTTTTTTCAAGGGGTCTCCAGGGTGTTTCAAAAGTTCATACATGGTTGAGAATCACTAACCTAATTGGTCTCTCTTCCAGACTGTCTTTCATAATGCCACAAGAATCATCTTTTTAAAAATGCAAATCTTAGAGCATCTGGCTGGTTCAGTTGGTTCAGTGTCTGACTCTTGATCATCTCAATCACAGGATTGAGCCCTGAGTCAGGCTCTGTGCTAAGCATGGAGCCTGCTTGAGATTCTTTCTCTTTCTCTTTCTCTCCCTCTGCCCCTCTCCCTCACTTGTGTGCTGCTCTCTCTCTCCCTCTCTAAAAAAATTTAAAAAAAAAACCATGCAAATCTCATATTAACCTTGAGTAGTGGTTTTCAATCTAGGGTACCCATTAGAATCACTTAGAGAGCTTTTAAAAATCCTGATACCAGGGGCGCCTGGGTGGCGCAGTCGGTTAAGCGTCCGACTTCAGCCAGGTCGCGATCTCGCGGTCTGTGAGTTCGAGCCCCGCGTCGGGCTCTGGGCTGATGGCTCAGAGCCTGGAGCCTGTTTCCGATTCTGTGTCTCCCTCTCTGCCCCTCCCCCGTTCATGCTCTGTCTCTCTCTGTCCCAAAAATAAATAAAAAACGTTTGAAAAAAAAAAAATTAAAAAAAAAAAAAAATCCTGATACCAGGCCAAACTCTAGACCAATTAAAACAGTCTCTAGGAATACAAACCAGGTATTCCCAGGTGATCCCAATATACAGACAAGGAAACCACTGCTCTAGAAGCAATGGGAAGCCACAGAAAGTCTTTTAGAACAATAAAATGCAAACTCCCCTGCAGATAATAAAACCTTCTCTCTAACCTTCATACCCTCACGACTCACACTACCAGAGCAATATAGTTCCCTCAAAGGGCCATACTTTTCCCCTTTTGTGTAAAGTATTACCTCAATCGAGAAATTACCTCAAAGCAAGTATTACCTCCACTGCTCACCCACAGCTAAGACCCAAACCACCTTTAAGGTTAAGATCTTTCAAGAACAGCCTTTGTATACAGTGTCCCCAACACACAGCTGAGCTCATCAACCCACCTGTAACTGTCTTGATTCTGTAGGGCAATTCTTAATGTTTACGTCTAACTTCCCTGTTGAACTGCTTGAAGTGAAAAACGTGTCTTATTCATGCTTTTATCCCCAGTGCCTATCACTAGGCATAGCACATAGTAAGCACTCAAATATCTACTGCATTCATTCCATTTAAGTAAATAATTATTTTCTATTATCATGCAGGTAGAATCCCATTATTAATAAAGTGAAAGAGACATCATATTTATATATTATATTCAAGTCTCATTATAACAGAAACCAACAGCTATACTTCTAAAAAATGTGAAACAAATATTTAATGTTTGTTCTATTTATGAATAGTAGTAAATAATGAAAAAGGCCATAAAAAGGGCAGTAAGTTTCCAGAATCACAAAGGTGACATCTCACAGAATAATGATGGTTAGCTTTACACCTGAAATGTCCTTAAAATATACCTTTTCAAAATGTTATGCTGGTATAATGACATCTGCGTGTTTTAGGAAGTGAACTAAGAGTAAAATGACAAGTACTTAGCTACCTTAAAATAAAAACAGATCATGAAAAGCTTTCAAATGCTTTGAATGAACTATACTTAAATCTAAAAACTCTGAGAATCTGGTGACCAGCATTTGATGGCAATTTCTAGTACTCTGGGTAATCTGTTACCCAGCAAAAACTCAGGTCTCCACAAAACCCAGGACAGTTTAAGCAGAAAACAGAGTATTTTATCAAAATAACAATAAAGTTACATTCAACATTTTATATTCATATAGTCACTACATATGTGACTTCCCAAAGATAATAATTTTGCACAAATATTAACTTGAGAACTATACACATTATGTACCTCATTCAAAAGATTTTTGTTGTACCCGCATTGATATGGGCCATGGAAATTATCTTAGCATGCAAAAAGATTACTAAGTTACTATGTGTTTAGAATAAGTTCTTTTTTCTTGATTACTAAATTAATCTAGTATTCGATGAAAGCCTATTACTTGTTTGGGAATATGTTAAAATTGAAGTATCTAAAGTGACTAGTAAGAACATAAAGGCATTAACCACAACACTTGAGCATTTGTGGCTAATTTTTTTTTTTTACCTTATTTGGCGATTTCAAAGGTGAGATGGCTATTTTATTTGGTGTCTGTGTTGTAGAATTTAAAGTTGATCCAATAACACCACTTTCAGATATTGTTATGGTCTTTGATGGAGTCCCGGGAGTAGACTGTGAAAGAACCCTACCTGCAAATGAGAGGCAGCACATCAGTTTGACTTTTTTCAATAATGATATAAAATGTATGTGATGATGATCTACACCCACAAAGACTGTAGTCTGTATGTTCACTATTTCATATGTATCCAGGTAGGAACTTAAACACTCAAGTGAGGCCCTAATGAACTAAGGTGAAACTAGTCAGAAGGAAACAAAACAATGCTTCTTAGTAACACTTAGTATCTTAATACCACTTTATGTAAAGTCCATGAAAACACTTCTCACTGTTCTCATCAATCCTGTTAAGTTATATTTATCAGAAAATAGGCTCAGGACAACTGTGCAACATGCCCTGTGTAACACAGTTCCTGAAAGTCAGGCCTTGAATCCAAGTCTCAAAACTTAATCTCTGTACTATACTACAGCTGTTTTACTCTGAACTTAAATCATTCAGGATACAATTTCAACCCACATCTATAAAACAGACATTGGACTAACCTGAAGACTATCTGATTTAATACTATCTGATTTTAGACTGCCAAAAGGAAAACAAAAAGTTCTTCTCGGACAGATTCCAACAGGAATACAGGAATACTGTGAACCCTTCTGGACACTACCCTTCAGGAAAAACACAGAAAACTGTAGGGTGTCTGGATGGGTTAGGAAATTGGGAATCATCTCACAATGAATTGAAATACTAGGAATTTTTATCCTAGTCAAGAAAGGAATACAAAGACATGACACATCTCCAAATTCTTGAAAGACTGTGTGACAGTCATTAGTGCTAGTCACCAAGTATTCTGGTTCTCTCCCATTCTGGGCACATGGTAGAACTGTGTACTCCCTGCACCCCCCGCCCCCACCCCATTCCTGGTGATTAGGTTAGGGTCACATGACAAGTTCTAACCGATGAACTATGAGTAGAGGTATTGCATTTCTGGGCCAGAACATTTCTGCCAATGCAAGACCTTCCAAAGCTCTACTTTTCCTCTGCCACATCTGAGATGTCGGTTCCTCTGTCAGCTTGAGTCCTTGTGAGACTGTAAGAAGAGCCCCCTTTCTAATCCACAATGGATATGTGATCTTATCAAGTATGAATAAAAAGTGAAAAAATTTTTTTAAACTTCTGAGATTTAGAGATTTTTATTATGGCAGGAAAGCCAAGATTATCCCGACTCATCTCTAGGCTGTCAAGTTGAAGGATTAGAGCCACTCTCTATCACATCAGATGCATAGCACAAATGCACAGAAACAGAAGTTTCAGTTCAGCACTAGGAAAGAACTTCTAACAAAAATTTCCACTTGAAAAGACTGTTTCACCACAAGTGAGTTTTTAGTCACTGAAGGCATTCCAAGCAGACGCTGTATAATCAAATTCACTGGCTGAAAAGGGAATTCAAGCACCCAAAGAAGAGAAAAGGTAGATAACTACATTATCTCTAAAACTCCTTCTTAGATGCTATGATTTAACTTATAAATATATCTGGAGATGAAAGAGAGAGGGAGAGAGGGGAGAGAAAGAGAAAAAAGAAAGGACTTTCTCTTTAGACAAAAATAAAAAACTAGCACTTAAGAGCTTCCGGATTATTTTTTTCTGACACAGTATACAGTTTCTTTTTTAAAATCAAGTTGATCTGGGGCGCCTGGGTGGCGCAGTCGGTTAAGCGTCCGACTTCAGCCAGGTCACGATCTCACGGTCCGTGAGTTCGAGCCCCGCGTCAGGCTCTGGGCTGATGGCTCAGAGCCTGGAGCCTGTTTCTGATTCTGTGTCTCCCTCTCTCTCTGCCCCTCTCCTGTTCATGCTCTGTCTCTCTCTGTCCCAAAAATAAATAAATGTTGAAAAAAAAATTTAAAAAAAAAAATAAAATAAAATCAAGTTGATCTGACATTTATGAATGTTTAAAATATTTTCAATTTATTTGTAGTACACACGTACATTTAATTTCATTGAAATAGTCATTAACAAATTTCAGCTGAGAGTTGATTTTTTTTAACCTGAATAACATAACTAAGTAAGTCAATTCTATATAAACTAAATGAATCTGCATCAAATATTTTTAGACCACCCTAAAGTGCTAAACCTGCCTGAAGTAAAATGATTGCCTGTTCTAGTTTCTAAAACTAGTTATCTGTGGGATAAACCTGAAGCCCAAAAAATGATTATATTAAGAAAATAAATTATCGGAGCACCTGGGTGGCTCAGTCGGTCAAGCATCTGACTCAGTTTCGTGGTTCATGGGATGAATCCCCACATTCGGCTCTGCACTAACAGTGAAGAGCCTGCTTGAGATTCTCTATCTCTGCTCTTCCCCCAACCCCCCTCAAAATAAACAAACATTCAAAAAAAAAGAAAAGAAATGACCAATAAAGACACAGTTTTATAAAATGCTCACCACTTATGGTTATTACTATAACTTCTTATTTGTTTGGCATTACATAAATTCAGAAAAAAGTGTCAGAAAAAGTTAATGCAGAAAATCCTCAATTCCTGAAAATAGCTGATCCAGAAAAGGCCACTTAAAGTGAATTCATTTAAGACAGGGACAAAAATTTCACTACAAATAAGAAAACTAAGAGTAAATCTTTCAGTTTTCTTTTCTTTTTCCTTTTTTTTTTTTTTTTGCTTATATTTAACAAAACTCGAGTTTATAATTAAAACTACAGTAACTCTTAGGATGAACTGTTAAGTCTAGGGGAAAGAGGATTCTTCTGAAAATTAGTGTACAGCACAATGACAGATGCAGTTTGAATGGGCACAACTTGATCATACTGAATGTCATCTCTGCCAGGCCAAAATATTTCAGGATTTCATCAATTTTCCCAAGAACCCTCTATACTTGTTAAAATTCAAGTTACTCTTAAAAAAAATTTTTTTTTGAGAGAGAGCATGAGTGAGTGAGGGCAGACTGAGAGGGAGAGAGAGAATCCCACGAGGTGCAGACAGAGAGAGAGGGAGGGAGACACAGTGTGGAGCCTGGGGGGGGGGGGGGGGGGTGGTGGTGTTGAGCTCATGAACCATGAGATCATGACCTGAGCCGAAGTCGGATGCTTAACTGACTGAGCCACCCAGGCGCCCCTCAAGTTATTCTTTTTGAGGGGCTTGCTTGTTTTTCATCCAGATAGCATCCCTCCTGATTATCTAATCTCCAAATCCCTATTTATCCTTAGCTCCACAGACAGATTCAACAAGTATGCAAATTCTACAACCTCCCCTTGAAATCAATTTGCAAGGTATTTACACTCCACTGTCAGTTGTTCTCCAAGAATCAAGAAACATACTCCAAAAGATAGGGGATGGGGGACAGGCAGGGAGCTGGCTTATCTAAGCAAGGACTAATTCTTAAGAGATTAATTTATTAGTGAATATTTTCACATTGATAAAGCTTGCTCCACTGTAGAAACCTTGTACCTCGGGAGCTCTGATAACAAGGACCTCTGTATCTCATTAAACTGTCTCCAAAGCCTTCTGAAGTGTGTGGAATCAACATTTTATAGAAGAGGAATCGATAATTATTTACCCAAGATCACAGACAAAATCTATACAAGAGCTATGACTAAAACCCAAGTTTCCCAATAGCTCCTTCCACACCACCACATTGCTTCCATGATATACATATTCATTCAAAATACATATTCACTGAACCACATCTATGTGCCAGAAACTGTGCCAAGTCTGGAAAGAGAGATAAACAAGGTAAAAGAACTATCGTTAATGTGGCACATACACACAATGGAATATTATTCAGCCTAAAAAAAAATTCTTACGTGCTACAACACAGATGAACTAGGAGGACATTGTGCTGAGTGCAATAAGCCAATTACGAAAGGACACATACTGTGTGATTCCACTTATATGAGATATGTAGAGTAGTCAAATTGATAAGAGACAAAAAGTTTCTGTTAGGAGTTGGGAGGGAGGGAAGAATGGGGAGTTATTGTTTAATAATGTAGAGATTCTGTTTTGCAAAATGAAAGAAGTTCTGAAGATGGATGGTGGTGACGGTGGTACAGCAGTGTAAATATACTTAATGCCACTGAATAGTCCACTTAAAAATGATTAAAATGTTGGGGCACCTGGGTGGCGCAGTCGGTTAAGCGTCCGACTTCAGCCAGGTCACGATCTCGCGGTCCGTGAGTTCGAGCCCCGCGTCGGGCTCTGGGCTGATGGCTCAGAGCCTGGAGCCTGTTCCCGATTCTGTGTCTCCCTCTCTCTCTGACCCTCCCCTGTTCATGCTCTGTCTCTCTCTGTCCCAAAAATAAATAAACGTTGAAAAAAAAAATTAAAAAAAAAAAAATGATTAAAATGTTATGTATGTTATGCCACAATTTATGTATGTATTGTTATCAAAATTTTTTAAATATAAATTAATTTTTAAGAGAGTTTTGTTTTGTTGAGAGAGAAAGAGACAGAGAGAGGCTCAACCAACTGAGCCTCCCCAGTGCCCCAATATAAATTAATTTTTAAAAATTACATGACAAACAAAACAAAGCCAAAAAATTATCACTAAGAAAAATTATAAATGTAGTAGGGGAAACAGACAAGAAAACCAAGTATTATAACACAGTGTGACTAACGGAAATATTAAAAACCAGTATGAAATGTAATATAAGTCTAATTAAAGTTAAGAATTTGGTAGGTATAATTAAGTTCTAAGGGAATACATAGGAGATGATCAGGGGAAGAGTATGGCAAACAAAGCATCGTAAGTAAAAAGGAATGCCAAGATCCTAAATCCCGAGAGAACATGGTCTATTTGGTAATTTCTTAAAATAAGTTAAATTAGGTGAAAATGAAAAAGGTATGTATTCGATCATAAATGCCTTTAATGTTAAAAAAGCACTGGCATCTAAATTCAAATCTGACAGACTGAAGCCAAGAAACTGATAAGAAATGAATATGGCCAAGAAAATCTGAAGCAAGGGTGTGACAAGATCAGATCTGCATTTTTAAAAAAATCACTTACACACAAACTTAAGTTTATCTTGACTGTAAGACAGAAAAAGATTTCCATCTTCAATGAGAAGCCCGAAAGTCGTTAAAAAACAATCTAAATGTACTTTGAAAAGTCAATAGCTACAATATAAAGATTACAGAACCTCCTTGTGATAAGAGAATTCAACAGGAGAGGTACTTCAGTGTTTTAAAATTTAGTTCCTAAGAATTTAAAAAGCTATATAATGGAACTAGTTGACAGTGGAAATTCTCTCTCCAAACTGAACTTAATGCCAATGATTCTAATGAAATTTAATAGAAGTCTATCTATGCCTTTTGGTAGGGCCAAGAAGTCTGCCCGTAATTAAAAGGTGAAACTATGATTAATGTGCAAACACATTATATAGATGACCCAAAGACCCAGCAATGATATCATTATAGTCAAACGTCAAAGGTGAAATCTTGGCATTGACCAAATGTTCACTCAGGCACATGTACAAACACAATTGTTTAGCGTATAATTTTCCCACACAATTAAAAAATGTAAGGGACTCTCTCAAGCTCAGAAATAGTAAAAAACACTGCACTGAGTAATTCCTCTTGGTTAACCCCCTCCACCAAAAACTCCCAAAAACTTCCCAGGGGAATGTTGGGGTCCCTTTTTCATCGATACATCCAAAGCCTTCCTTACTTTCAGCCAACTGAAGCCCACTTCTGGAACCAGATCCAAATCCAAACGCTTTCCAATCTTCCCTCTGGGGCCATACTTGTCCCCATGACAGCCCTCAAGACAGCAGCCTCCTATAACATCACAAATCTCTGCTGAGGGCCAAAAGAGAAAAATACATTCACCCAACAATACTGCCCTCAAACTACAATCTTTCCATGCCTCCTCTCACTTGCTAAAACGAGAAGCCTCCCTAAACACAATGCAAAGCTTCAGGAAAATGACAGATCACTGCCACTGACTTCAGAGTTGCCTGTTGTTACACTGTCTATAAATTTATCAAAAATGGTGGACAGTGGTTTTCATATATATCCTCTCCCACCTACCCCTCACGGTTAGTTAACATTTAAAGTAAGTACCTTCCTCAAGAATACACATTCTAGGAATGGGTAATTAGCATTTGAAAGTATCTAGTCAAAGTTTACCATCCAGAGGTACTTCCATAAGCCCTTAAAACACAATGGAAATTAGAAATGAGCTCCTAAGTGGTGAAAACGTTCATGTTAGTACAGCTCTGAATTAAAGACCAGTCACCATGGCTGTATGTCTCTAGAAAGATCACACTGCTTGCCAGGCAGAGTAAGAAGAGTGCTGGACTTAAGCCATTATAGAAGGAGAAAGGGAAAGGAATATCAATGGTGTTGCAACGAAGTGATAATTATGGGTCTTGGACTCCATATTGACTAAGCAAGAATCTGAGGACAGGAAGTGAGTGATTCTTGAAAAAGAATGATTAACAGATCAGAGATCTCAAAGTCAAAGAACTGCCAGATTGGGAATACAATGGCAGATAAACTAATAAAGAAAACGAAATACTCAAAGTCAAGATTTGAGGTGTTACAGTAATTGGTGATGACAAATTATTAAAGTATATAATAAAAAGCATTCGGCCACACTGAAAAATTTGCTGGTAAATATAGCTAAAATTTTGTTATCACATAAGTAATTGCTATCATTGTGACCATTTTCTGTTCATAGAAAACTGCATATAAAGCATTTTGAAACCAAAAACAAACAGAAACCATGAAATAGTATACTCTCACGTGTATTAATTTAAATCTATTAAACTTAGCTACGTGTGCTCTAGACACAAACTGCCTGGGTTCAAATCCCAGTTCGGCCATTTACTGGCTGAGTGCCTCCATTTCTACACTGGTAAAATGGGGCTGTTATTAGTACCTACCTTCCAGGATTGCCCAAGGGCTATATAAGTGACTACATGTAAAGGGCTAAGAATAGTGCGAGGCATGTGGTAAACACTAGATGAATGTTAGCTAGTATTACTGAAGGTTAAGACTTTGCTACTTTCATGGTAAAATTCTACCAAAAACTAAGGAGACTAAAGTAATGGACTGATTTTGAGATAAGGCATTTGCTCAGAGCACACATTTAAATAAGTGTAAGAAATAACATTTCTTATTAACTAGTTTGGTTTGTAATAATAACTCTACTTGTTGCACTAAAACATTTCAAGATGGCAGAACAGCCTTTCTTAAACCTAAAAGGAAGGTAAATATATAGCTTAATAAACTATAAAGAAATATAACCTGCAATGACTGGTGGTGATACTTGAGTTGTCTGTCCTGTAACTGCTTTACTATTAATTGGTTTTGCAAAGATCAGCTTCGTGATTACTGGACCAGAGGTTGGTGTTCGAGGCTTCTTAGCAATCTGAAATATATAAATAACTATGAAGGCCATTTGTTTCTGTAAAACACCTATTCAGTCAAAATTAAACAGAAGATTGATATACAGAAGTACATATGAAACCGGCTCATTTAACAGAATATATCTAAATATTAATGTTAAAAATATCTAAAATGCAGCCATTCATCAAAATACTAATATGATCCCATCCTTAAGCCAATATATAGCAATACCTTTACATTTTATTGTAAATCCTTACTTTAGTCTGTAGGATAATATGCATATGATGAAAACCAAAAGAGTATTTAAAAATAATTTTAATGCTTAATAATGCTTACTTAATAATAAACAATAATAAAACATGACAGCAATATTTTCTCAAAATAACAAATTATTCAGTAATAAAAAGATAGAGTCAGTTAAGAAAGCATAGTGCAAATGATGAAGCCACCTATAAATGCAATTACATTGGCCCCTGGAAGCAAAATATGAATACACATTAAAGACAGGTTATGATTAGATCCTCAGCTTTAGATCTATATATTAGGGTAGATAAACAAACAACTGAGTAAGTTAATATCCTAGGATACAAAGAGACAAGTTTGGCAAAACAGACTATTCTGAAGACAAAGCCTCTAGAAATACCATTTGCTAAAATACTGTTTATTAGACTATCAATTCTTTGAAGGTAGGGTCTATATTTATTCATTCCTGATCTTAAATTATATTGGCATCCTGTTCACCTGAACTAAAATTCTCCACAAGTCAAAGAGGGTAGAGTTATCAATGTTTTAATATTGAAATTATCAATGTATGCAAAGATATAGCTTCTTCTAAAAGTTAAAAGCAGAAATTTAGTTGTGATATGGGAGACATTAAATATTTTGTCAGATATGAAAACTAAGGCCCTGAAATTGCTATTATTGGAAATAAAGACTTAAAATGAATAAACATGAGGGGCACCTGGGTGGCTCAGTCGGTTAAGCATCCGACTTCGGCTCAGGGCATGATCTCACGGTCCGTGAGTTCGAGCCCCGCATCAGGCTCTGTGCTGACGGCTCAGAGCCTGGAGCCTGTTTCAGATTCTGTGTCTCCCTCTCTCTCTGACCCTCCCCCGTTCATGCTCTGTCTCTCTCTGTCTCAAAAATAAAAAAAAAAACATTACCAAAAAATTTTAAATGAATAAACACGACCAATTTGAATAACATAAGCATACCAGAAGCTGCAATGGATCACAGACCTAGAAAAATATCAGCGTTGTGCTCAAATTATAAACTAAATAATACATTACCTTATACTTAGAATATATTACTTTCTTACACTCAGAACATGTTACTGACAAAAAAATATATAAATGAAATACAAATCATTTTTTAAAAAAACAAAACAAGGAGATCCATTACTGTATAAAAAAATACCCGGCTTGGGGGCGCCTGGTGGCTCAATTGGTTAAGCATCTGACTTCGGCTCAGGTCATGATCTCACAGTTCATGAGTTCAAGCCCTGCATCGGGCTCTGTGCTGACAGCTCAGCTAGGAGCATGGAGCCTGCTTCGGATTGTGTGTGTGTCTCCCTCTGCCCCTCCCCTGCTCACGTTCTGTCTCTCTCTCTCTCAAAAATAAATAAACATTAAAAATTAAAAAAAAAAAAATACCCAGCTTGCAAAACTGATATATCCAAATAAATGTATAACCATTGATGCAATTTGGGAGACATAAAGGGGATATATTTCCCAAATGTATTTACAGGCCTAAATTCTAAAATAAGTCAGAATATGTCATCTATTGACTTATTAATAATCTCTAAAGATAAAAGTATTGATGTTCTTAGAAACCCATGTCTTATAATAAACATTCTTTTGGAGCTTAGAGTATTTCTCCATTTTTAACTGATTTTCACAATCATATGACTATATGAATACTTACCAATCAGGAAAAAATGTAAACAATACAACCAAAGGCACATTAATTATTCAAATGAATAATTCCAATTTGCCCCTGTGGCTACATTTCTTTAGTGGCTCATTGTTGAAAATAACAGTTTATAGTTCCTTCAAGGAACTATAATAATTTGTATTATAAATTCTAAACTACTCTAGAACAAAATTATTAAGTAAAACAAAACATAAAGTATCACTTTTAATAAATTTATCTAATCAACAAAGACAAAAATGAATCAAAAAAGGAAATTTACAAATATAGCCCAATATATAATCAAATAATACATGCAGGTAATAATTGGCATTGTATTATATAGACTCAGCAACTAATAAGGAGCTATATTGTTCCAAACTCTTAGTTATTAATTACTCTTACACACTACGCACAAGAAACATGGGAAAGTGTTTATATATCTGTAATTAAGTGTAACTATACCTCTTTGTTACTGCCTCTGGCCTCAACTGTCACCTCTTTCCTTCATTTTTCAAGATGGGTCTCCTTCTTCCACCCTTACCTGCTGTCCATACCCTAACAGTTTCAATACTCTGATTAAACTTAAGACAACGCTGAGGATTGTCTAGGAAAAAAACCAGAGAATCATATACACCGTGTAATACTAAACCACATATTCTGGTGCCTAAAGAGGAAACATAGATGTGTAGCTTCTTATTTGTTGTTTTTTTTTTTCTAGGCTTTAGAGCTTTGTAGCTTTTTACTTTTGAATTGGAAAGATCTGATTTGCCTAAAAATAACTGGACAAGTGGAACAATATTCTAATTGGGTTTTCTTCTGTTTTTGTTATTTTTTTAAAATAGAAGTTCTTTTTTTAATAAACAGAATCAGGTTTTATAAAATTAACAATAAATGCTTTCACTGTAAGTACTTAGGGGACTGTAATAGAAACCTTGTAGATACAAGTAAACTGGTCATGAAACAGCATGCATACATTGCTCTAATAAATGAAAAAAAAATGACATTCTGATTTTCATTATCAGTTTATTGTGAATGTGGTTATGATCCACATCTCCAAAGCCAGATAAACTCTGGTAATCTAATAAAAACAAGTTTCAAAACTGATTTTAAAAAGACAAGATACTTGACAACAAGATGCTTGATGGTATTAGTATATCTCATTCAAGAGATTCTCATCAAAAGAAGTAAAAGGAAGTCAGAGATAAGTGACAGATGATAATGAACAAGAAAGAAAAGGGCACTAAATATTTAATAGTGGCAGGAGGAACATGGGTAAATTACAAGGTTTGAGAAATCATACAAAGTGCTTAAATAAAAAACCCAATAAAAATAAGCTTCTAGTTATTTTGCCAACATAATAACCAAAACATTATTTCTAATATCAGCAGAGTGTGGATAGTTCCTCAAATCTTCCTACTGCTTTATATACCTGCATGAGTTCTCTAACTCACACCTCCTTTTTTCTGCAAGATGAACCTTTCAAACAGGGAATGCATTTGTGTTTCCTGATATTAAGTGGATCATTTTATTTTAAGAGCAGTGGTGACCTCAAAAGGCCTATTTGAGCATAAAAAACTGGGAACCATTGAATGTATGCTCTGTTAACCTTCTATCTTAGGATCCTGTTCATACTAACAATAGGAACCATTATGAAGGATCCTTGAAGTTTTGAGAACTACATCAGTACTATCTTTTACTATGTATTTCATCATGATCAAATAGCCATCTTCCAGCTAAAGCAAAAAACTCAGAGAAGTAACCGATCCAAAGTTCCACAGGTGATAGGGTAGCACAGAGGTCACTCAAATCCAGCTGGTCCAATTCTAAAGCCAATATGTTACCTTCCATCATGTGACACTGCCTCTTCCACACTGTAAACACGAGTGATGGCAATGGACAGTAAACTGCAAAGAGGCGGCACACGCTGGCTAGTATGTACTATTGCTGGCTCCAAGGGTTTCTCAGAGCAGCAAGTTTTCCTAGACTTTGGCCATCTGTTAACTGAAAAAAATTATGTCTGAATGATTTTTTGACAGCCTAGCAGCAACTCTGGTATCTTTATACCAGCAGAGCATACGTGCAATCAAACTACTACTGAGAATAAAATGCATTTAAAAATGAGGAAAAAGCTATAAATACACTAAATTAGAAATTTAACAAAAATTAAGTTTGCTCTAAGTCCTCTAGCAAACATTTTCAAAGCATTAGACATATCAAATTTTACAAAAAAAACCCCACAAAATTACTAAAAGCAACATTCAAAAGAATTCAATAACAACTATGCATTTAATTACCCTACAAACACAACTAAGAATCAATTTAATTTTTAACATGCAATTGAATTAATAAGCCCCCTTCTTTTTTTTTTTTTTTTTTTTTTTTTTTTTTTTTTTTTTTTTTTACCTGTACTGTTTTTAACTGTTGGGTCTGTAACACAGAGGGCTGAGTTGTTGTATTAATCAGTTGACTTCCTGGGGTCAATGCTGAGACACCAATGACAGGTTTCACCTCTGGCCTCCCTCCAATGGTAACTACTTTAATTTGCTGCGGTGGTAACTTAGCATCTCCTGACTGGGCCTGAGTTGTAACTTTCTGAGCCTGGGGTAGTTGGCTATGGGGTAGTGCTAAAACAATTGGTGAACCAGACTTGCCCAAAGTTGTTAAAATTAACTTCTGTCCATCTGGTTTAAGGGTCTGATTGCCAAGTTTAAGATCTGATGTCTGTGATACTTTGTTTAAAATAATCTGATTGGCTGATATAGTCACAGGAGTCTGAGCACCAAGTTTTTGAAGGCCACTTGGAAAAGCTGGTTTCACTGTGGTATTAGAATCTGCTTTAGTAATTGTGGTATTCACTGCAACTTGGTTAGTGTGGTTACTGTACACTGTGATTGGTTCCGTGGAAATGGGCGTGGCTGTAGAGTCACCAGTAGAATTTATGTTGACAATTTCTTCCAGTTCTGTCTCCATGGGAATTGGGGATGAAACAATAACAGCCTCAATACTATCATCATCCACTAAAGTTATACCAGTGTCCATTATCTCCTCTGGAAGCAAACTATTCACCTCAGCTGGCACCACCTCCATGATCGTTCTCCAGCTAGAAAGTTGATCAGGCGCTGCAATAAAGTTGAAAATGAATAAATTACTAGTTTTCAAAACAGATTTAAGAAAAAAAATTATTTAAAAAAATGCAAGTGACAAAATCATTATTTATTACTGATGTATAATTGAGCGACAAACTTGAAACTACTGACAAACTTGAAAACTGCTGATTCACACAAAGAAAGATTAAAATGTAAACAAATATTGGAAAATATCTTCAAATCTCTAGGGAGCTAGGTCCTAAAATGAGGGTAGTTTGCCATCTATAAAAATCCATTAAATACTCAAAATAATGTTAAAGGAGTTCCAGAGTAATCCATCTCAGCAAGTGCAGATTAAATGACTTATTTGGCTCAAGTCTGATCAATTAACTTCATACCAAAAACAACTTTATTTGGAAAAAAGATTCTCAAATCCTCCTTGGCCATTTAAAATGTCAAAAAAGAAAGCATTTAAAAGGCGTAAAAACCAGTCTCATTACAAAAAAAGTGGTAATAATAATAAAGCAGATTACGAACAAATCAGAACTATGATGCTTTTATTTATTACTTTTAATGTTTTTTAATGTTTATTTTTGAGAGACAGATGCGCGCAGAAGGGCAGAGAGAAAAGGGGACAGAGATCTAAAGCGGGCTCTGCGCTGACAGCAGTGAGCCCGTCAGCCCGATGTGGGGCTTGAACTCATGAACCATAAGATAATGACCTGAACTAAAGTCGGACACTCAACCGAGTCACCCAGGCACCCCGGAATTGTGATGCTTTTAGCCAAAGGTTATGTAGAACTTCCAATAAAGAAGTCAGTACCCTTATCTAAACATTACATCATGATCATGACTGACTAAATAGTAACGTTGCTTGCCCATACAACATTAAAGATCCACAGAAACCTAATCAGCATTCTTTCTCCCATTTTTTAAAATACAAAAATACAATACCCATTCTGAGATTAACAGACATGAGCAACGAATTATAATTAGCACTGACAGATACTAATAGGGCCAAAATTAATCATTATTGAGTGTTTGCCAATGATAGCACAATTTATCCTCACAACCATACTGAGACAGTATCATTACCACTCCCATATTACAGATGAAAAAACTTAGATTATAAAATCCGTCCCAGGTCACATAACTAGTAAATGATAGAGCCCAGACTCAAACTCAGGATATGTTTTATGATACCAAAGTTCATAATTTTAATCACAAAATTACATTGCCTTAAACTTTTACCACTGTTATTTTTTATTTTTTTTATTTTAAAAAATTTTTTTTTTCCAACGTTTATTCATTTTTGGGACAGAGAGAGACAGAGCATGAATGGGGGAGGGGCAGAGAGAGAGGGAGACACAGAATCGGAAACAGGCTCCAGGCTCTGAGCCATCAGCCCAGAGCCCGACGTGGGGCTCGAACTCACGGACCGCGAGATCGTGACCTGGATGAAGTCGGACGCTTAACCGACTGCGCCACCCAGGCGCCCCAATTTTTTAAATGAAGAAAAAAACAAGTCTACTCCTTTACAGTCAATCCCCTACCCCAAACATCCCAACCTACACAACCACTACTCTATCTCTATAGATTAGTTTTGACTTTTGCCCATTCTAGGATTTCACATAAATGGAATCATACATTGTGTACTTGTGACATAAAGGAACCATGCAATAGGACTGAAATTTATCTTCATTCCTTCGCTTACTACAAGTTCTGTTCCTTTTTTTTGTTGAGTAATATTCTATCATATGAATCTACCACAATTTGTTTATCCATTCACATGTGAATGGACATCTGTAGTGTTTCCAGTTTGGGATTCTTATAAATAACACTGCTAGTTTGTTATGGATATATATTTTCATATTTTTTGAATAAAGACAAAGAAGTAGACTTGCTGGGTCATAAGGTAAATTTATTTTTAACTTTCCATGAAACTGCCAAACTATTTCCCAACTTGGCTGTACCACTGTATACACCCACCAGCAATGTGCAAGAGTTCCAGCAGCTCCACATCCTCGCTAACAACTGGTATTATCAGTCTTTTTAATTTTAGCCATTCTAATGGGTGTGAAGTGATATCTCATTGTGGTTTTCATTTGCAATGCCCAAATGACTAATAACAATGAGCATCTTTTTATATATGCAGTGTATTGTGCATCTTCTTTTGTTTTTTTTTTAATTTTTTTTTAACGTTTTTATTTATTTTTGAGACAGAGAGAGACAGAGCATGAATGGGGGAGGGGCAGAGAGAGAAGGAGACACAGAATCGGAAGCAGGCTCCAGGCTCTGAGCCATCAGCCCAGAGCCCGACGTGGGGCTCGAACCCACAGACCGTGAGATCGCGACCTGAGCTGAAGTCGGATGCTTAACTGACTGAGCCACCCAGGTGCCCCTTGTGCATCTTCTTTTGAAAAGTGCCTGTTAAAATCTTTTGCCTTTAAAAAAATATACTGGCTTTTTTTGTCTTTTTTTTTTTTTTAATTTTTTTTAACGTTTTATTTATTTTTGAGACAGGGAGAGACAGAGCATGAACAGGGGAGGGTCAGAGAGAGAGGGAGACACAGAATCTGAAACAGGCTCCAGGCTCTGAGCTGTCAGCAAAGAGCCCGACATGGGGCTCGAACTCACGGGCCACGAGGTTGTGACCTGAGCCGAGGTCGTGACCTGAGCCGAAGTCGGCCGCTCAACCGACTGAGCCACCCAGGCGCCCCGCTTTTTTTGTCTTCTTATTGAGTTGGATAAGCTCTTTATATATACTATAAAATCATCAGTCACAATAACTTGTAGCTCAAAGGAATGACTAGCATTTTGAGACTTCAAAGTACTAACATTTCTCTACATGCAGCTCTTTCTGATCAGGAGAATCCCCTCAGATATTTATGGGAACTTAAAGTAGACATGTAAAAACATCAACACCAATTATGTCTTTAGCAATGGGAGTCACAATAGTACATAACAACAAAGGGCCCAACCCATCATGTCACATTAGCTTCCCTCACCTACTGCAAACAGTGCCCAAGCCCCATCAGTTGCATCTGCACACTCTATTCCCCACAGAATAAGGCAGGATGATGACCTGGGTGCCAGTATCCAACAGAGCCATGAAGTTTTGACTCCCTGCTCTGAATCTCCACCAGTATATTTAGACATGTGGGTATGGCCTTTGGTCCCCGCTTAAGGACAGGGAGATCTTTGCCCAATCTCTATTCATCCCTCTCCTTAAAGCATCTGAAGTCAAGGTGTAGGAGGAGGGAGAAGTTCAAGTCACAGAAGGAGATATGGTTTGGCAATGAATTTACTTTCAGTTTCAAGTACCCACAGTTCCAACTCAACTAAACAAACTTCTAATTCACCCAAAATTCTATATCCTCTGACACCAATATCTCAGCTTTCGGGATCCTTAACTCAGTGACTACAGCCACACTGCCTTTCAGCTGGGGCTATGGAGTTGAGTGTACAACAATCAAAGCACCATTTGGGCTCTCCGTTCAGACCCTAACTATCCATTAAGAGACAGAACACTGGAATACTTCCCCTGCCCCTGCCACCCTTGCCCACTACTTGGGTGACAGCATTCACTACTAGATGCCAGAATCTTTTCATATCCCCTAACCTAGTCGACATGGCTCTCATCCTTCCTCTTTCATAAAGCTATGTCTCTGCCAGCACTCCATTGTCATGGCCCAAACTGCCAAGACCTGTGAGCAATCTGAGATTTCAGACCCTCTTTGTAAGCTAACTAAGTTTCCTGTTACCATTTCACAGATACTGGCAGACCACACAGTAGTCCTAGGTAGAGACACAGGACTTACTACAGTATAGTAGGAACATGAGAGAATCATGTTTGTATCACAACTAAGAACCCTGAGCTCAGAGAATCTGATTCATTTGTAATGGGCTGAAGCACACCTGCCCTTTTGTCCACAAGAAGATATATTATCTTTATTATACTGCACAATAAGCAAATCTGCCCTTGGCTACAGCACGAGTCACTATTTCTACCATTCAAGGCTGTTTGCTATACAAACATCCTAGAAATGATCATTTAAAAGGGCAGTTGCTGCCTCAGTTGCAGAGGTGCAGGAATGCAAAGAGCAATGGAAAACTGTCTCCCAACAGTATATCTCTCTACTTACTTATCTTAGTAATGTTTTATATTTCAAATGTACATGTCTTGCACATAAATTCATCCCTACACATTTCATGTTATTTGATGGATTGCAATTGATTTTTCCATTTTCAAATTGTTGCTAGTATATACAACGATTTTTTTTCATATTGTTCATGTAGCCTACAACCCAGGTAAACTCACTTATTAACTTTAGTTTTTTGATGTAGATTCTTTAGGATTTTCTACAAACACAATCCATGCTGTTTGAGAATAATGTCTGTATTTCTTCCTTTCCAGTCAGTGTGTCTTTTATTTCGTTTCCTTGCCTTACTACACTGAGTAGGACCGCCAGTAAAATGTTTAATAAAAGTGGTAAGAGGGGCGCCTGGGTGGCGCAGTCGGTTAAGCGTCCGACTTCAGCCAGGTCACGATCTCGCGGTCCCGCGGTCCGTGAGTTCGAGCCCCGCGTCAGGCTCTGGGCTGATGGCTCGGAGCCTGGAGCCTGTTTCCGATTCTGTGTCTCCCTCTCTCTCTGCCCCTCCCCCGTTCATGCTCTGTCTCTCTCTGTCCCAAAAATAAATAAACGTTGAAAAAAAAAATTAAAAAAAAAAAAAGTGGTAAGAGCAGACATCTTTGCCTTACTACCAATCTCATTTGTTAGATATGGGTTTTTCACAAATTCCCTTTATCAGGTTCAGGAAGCATATTTATATTCCAGTTTTTGGAGTTTGGTTGGTTTCTTTTTTTTCCCCCAATCATAAATGGATATTTCTGTCATATGCTTTTTCTGCAAATATTGAGATAATCACACAACTTTTCTCTTTTAGCCTTGAATTATATTGACTTTTTTATTATTAAGCCAATTTTGCATTCCCAAAATAAGCCCTATACTCAGTCATGATGTATTACACTT